GTTAGGCACTCCTCAGAGTGGCCCCGGTGCCGACGAGGTGCCGCGGCTCACTGCCGAGTTAGACACTCCTCGGAGTGGCCCCGGAGCCGACGAGGTGCCGCGGCTCACTGTCGTTAGACATTCCTCAGAGTGGCTCCGGAGCCGACGAGGTGCCGCGGCTCTGCCGAGTTAGACACGCCTCAGAGTGGCCCCGGAGCCGACGAGGTGCCGCGGCTCACTGCCGAGTTAGACACTCCTCGGAGTGGCCCCGGAGCCGACTAGGTGCCGCGGCTCACTGTCGTTAGACACTCCTCAGAGTGGCTCCGGAGCCGACGAGGTGCCGCGGCCCACTGTCGTTAGGCACTCCTCAGAGTGGCCCCGGTGCCGACGAGGTGCCACGGCTCACTGCCGAGTTAGACACTCCTCAGAGTGGCTCCGGAGCCGACGAGGTGCGGCGGCTCACTGCCGAGTTAGACACCCCTCAGAGTGGCCCCGGAGCGGACGAGAGGTACCGCGGCTCACTGCCGAGTTAGACACTCCTCAGAGTGGCCCCGGAGCGGACGAGGTGCCGCGGCCCACTGTCGTTAGGCACTCCTCAGAGTGGCCCCGGTGCCGACGAATATAATCATTTGCATGCAGCTGAAGTCACGTGCTGACAGACGGGAGAGCTTTACGTACCCAGTTTGGGCTCCGGTCCCGCGCGTGGTGGTGAGCTCTCTACTGTGTTCTGTGTGTGCCCGGTGTCTAGTTATTGAGGCTAATATGTTCCGACTGCTCAGTACAGCTACTACAGTGACCTCAGGACAGTGCCTGGGGTTTCCTCCTCCCTCTCCCCAGTCCTTGGCGGTTGCAATGGTAGGGCGAGAGTCGGCCGTGATGATTGTGGGGCGGGTAGTTCTGGCACCGTTGTCTGATGGTGGTATGAAGATTACCAGTTATCGTTGACCGCCGCCAGACGAGACGCTGTGCACACAGTGACGGGGTGGGGTGCGGGGGGGGGGATCAGAAAATGCGGCCGGTCTGCTGCTGCGCCGACGATGCCGCCTCCTGCCGGTCTGGGCTGCGACTGACGGTGCTGCCACCTGTTGACAGTACGACGGCGTGCTCGGACTGGACGCCGAGTGGAAGCCAATCACCGTACGAGACTGGAACAGGGTCTCGCTGCTCCAGGTGAGCTGCGTCGGCCGGCCTGCGTCCCGACGCCCCGCCCACACCGCGCTGCCGGCCGGGTGTGCGCGCGGGCGACGGGTCGGCTGGGGGTCATCTCGGGTTCACCGGGGTCATCTTGACATGGTCGGTGGAGGTCATCGGTGCGGTCGTGTGGCGAACCTCAGTCGGCCGCCGTGGCTGTCGGCGGCTATGTGGCGAGCGTCAGTCGGCCGCCGTGGCTGCCGGCAGCTGTGTGGCCGGTAGCGGTGTGGCGAGTCCCAGTCGGTCGCTGAGGCTGCCGACGGGCGCGTGGCCGGTAGCGGTGTGGCGAGTCCCAGTCGGTCGCCGAGGCTGCCGACGGCTGTGTGGCCGGTGACCGTGTGGACAGCCTCAGTCGGCCGCCGTGGCTGCCGGCGTCTGTGTGGCCGGTAGCGTGTGTGGCGAGTCCCAGTCGGTCGCTGAGGCTGCCGACGGGCGCGTGGCCGGTGGCCATGTGGCGAGTCCCAGTCGGTCGCCGAGGCTGTCGGCGGCTGTGTGGCCGGTGACCATGTGGACAGCCTCAGTCGGCCGCCGTGGCTACCGGCGTCTGTCTGGCCGGTAGCGGTGTGGCGAGTCCCAGTCGGTCGCCGAGGCTGCCGACGGGCGCGTGGCCGGTAGCGGTGTGGCGAGTCCCAGTCGGTCGCTGAGGCTGCCGACGGGCGCGTGGCCGGTGGCCGTGTGGCGAGCGTCAGTCGGCCGCCGTGGCTGCTGGCAGCTGTGTGGCCAGTGGCCGTGTGGTCAGCCCAAGCCGGCCGCTGTGGATATCATAGTATATTCGTATATTTCACACGAAATCCAATCAGCAGATTTTCATCCATGCGCAAGTATGTAAGGGAGGCTGATGCAGCACGCGCACACGTGACTGCCACTCAAATCTTACACACCACCCGGACCGCATGGCTGGTGGCGAGACAGTTAGACAGCATCACGACTTCTACGCTCCTCTTGAGTGCTGACTTAACGTGAGACCCTCTTCACGCATGTTGTGGCACACCATATTGTAAGATTGCACTGCGCTGTACACGGTTGACCGCCGCTGGTCTCTGCTCTGACGGGTGGAGGCCGCGGCAGGTCGGACTGTCCCACCGTGGGCTGACGGCGGCGCGTGCGCGGTGACCGGCAGGTGGCCACCAGCCGGCTGGTGTACGTGCTGGACCTGCTGCAGCTGACGGTGGTGTCGCCGCTGATGGAGAGGCTCGGCGCCGCCATCCTCTGCGGAGACAACCTCAAACTGGGTAGGTGGGCGCGGCGCGCACCTCGAGCGCCCAATCTCCGGTGGCTGCGGACCGCGTCCTGGAGTCACGTTGTGCGCGTTTGGTGCGTCCGACTGAGCGACCCTTCTGCCGGCCAGGGTACGACCAGGGAGCGACTTCGACATGCTGGAGAGTTCAGTGCCGTCATTCGCGAAGGCCATCATGGGCAAGAAGAACATGATGGACGTCAAACCCTCGGCAGTCGTGTCGAGGAGGCGTTTCCAAACATTTTCCCGTACAAGGAAGGTGAGGCAGCCGTCTGGACGGGAACATGTTCGCGGCCGTATATGAACGCCACCGCGGCCTTTTCGGCCGGCGGCGGTCCCGCGGCCTTTCCGCGGGGCCGGTTCCTCACGCTATGCGGTCGCTCGCTCGTGTGGCATGAACGCTAAGGCCGTGTGCCGTGTAAATACTCGATGGGTCTCAGGACGCGCGCGCAGGCCGCTAGTCCGGTCACTGTGTCCACATTGCATGACTCGTCAGTCCGGCCGCGCGCGCACGAACCGCTAGTCCGGTCACTGTGCCCACATTGCATGAGTCGCCAGTCCGGTCGCCGCGCGCACGAACCGCTAGTCCGATCACTGTGTCCACATTGCATGACTCGTCAGTCCGGCGGCGCGCGCGCGGCAATCATAATGACTGAATGAATGAACTAACCACTCTTACAGCAACCGAAAGGGTGCCGGTAGTGTAGTGGTAACACGTCTGGTCAACCACTGCGCGTCTGGGAACAGAGGTACGG